GTGTTTCTGCAAGTCTACTCGGAGAGGGGTATTCTGGGTAACCGCAGGCTGCAGTTTTTCCCTCATTAAGATTATGTTAAACGCGTTTTGATATTTACAACTAAAACCTGGACCGTTGTGGACGTCGCGTACTTGGGAGGAGATGTCTGAGACTGTGTGGAAACAGGGTGAAGTAGCGCTGTGTGAAAGTCAGTCAAGAGTGCGTTCTTGTCTCTGAACTCTTGAACTGGTGTCTTTCTCTGCGCAGATGGCAGCATAAATTAACAAGGCAAACTGTTTTTGATGGATGCCCACTTACAGCTTGGTACTCCAAACATGCGAGAAGTTGTGTTCATGTGCTCTTAGTGACTCTCAGTCGACACTAAAGTACATCAGTCTATTTTGATGAAAATATGAATTATGTGCGGGGAGTTTAGTCCTTTTTAGATTTTAATAATCTGAAGGTCCATCTTGAGTTAATATACAGTATAAGTGAATGATTCTTTATATATGGCCTGGGTGTGTTCAACCGGTTGCCCAGTGCATGCTGGGATAGGCTCCTGCTTGTGATAAGTGACGTACAGTAGTAAATGGTAAATTACATGACCGTTTGAGGCTTCACTCTGGTTAAAAAGCACCATTTATCGGAAAGAAAGTCACTCGGCATCCATCTGAGTTTTCAAACTATGCAGATTTATTGATAATTAAACTGTGAGCATCATATCACAAATATATAATCACAGTCTGTGGTTAAAATGGCTCCAGCACTTCATCACTAATGTGTCGGTTGCTGTTGTGTCTGTACACGACACAGTATGTTTAGAGGCGATGTCTGTCTGCTGTGGTTAATTTGCTCTGAATGGCCCAATTACGTAGCTTTTATGACACTTTTGTCTGTGTCTGTTTCGCTTTATAATAATGTCTTTACAATGTGCATTTGCACGATGTTCAGTTTTGATCTGTGTTCAAGTTGAACATTTGAAAACAAGGTTTTCTACTCGTGCCAGGACTCAAATGAGAAGCAGGCAGATGGCTTACACACTGGCTCATTTACAGTCATACTGATCAATAAGAAGTGTCCCTGGGAAAACGGCAACCAAAGCAGAGTAATTGTGAGTAATCTGTGATTATTTTAATGAATAATGGATTGTTTTGTTTATAGAATATCAAGTTGTCCGAGCCCAAATTGATTTCTGAGGGACTGTAGGAAACTGATTTGTGTTTCAACACGTTCCTCAGCGAGTGACTAAAGACGAAGTTATTTACTTTACTACATAAAACCTCTTACAGCTATATAAAGCCAGACTCTTTTTCTAGCTCTTTTCTCATTTTAACTTAAAAGGCCGTCTGAAGGTTGGTCTGAATATGTCATTGCTCCTCCGGCCACCTCTTTCATAATAACTCAACCTGATAACAAGGAAAATATTAAACAAATGGCGGCCGGAGCTATTTTGCATGAACGGCAGCCGAGCAATCGGATGAGGGCCGTCTGCCCAGCCATTCAAATCAACTCGGGAGCAGAGTGAACCAAGATGAACTCGGAGGAGGACAAGTCATGGAGCAGAGGTTCCTCATCCACTCTGGATTTGTGCTGCAGCGTTCTCAAAATGCAGAGAATGAGTCAATTATACCAGAAAACGTGTGTGTGTGTGTGTGTGTGTGTGTCACAGCTGGCAGCCAGAGCAGATCAAACCTCAGAAGGAACGGACCATCTCTCAAATAAAATCCATTTTCTGTGCACAGAGCGTCTTTCAGGGTTCGGAGAATAAAACTTCACTTGTGTCTGTAAGAGTCTCTGATACTCCCTGGGTGACCCACAGCTTTGCATTATTGGAAAACAGGTTAACCTCCAACCTGACTGGGTGCTGTTGTGCAGAAGTAGAACGGCAAGTTCAATGTGCACTGGCGGTCACATAAGCAGAGTCTGTCCTTTCTTGCCAGTACAGTTTATGAGCTGCCGGTGTATTTACCTTTTCAGGGCTGAACTAACATTTCCAGTCCAGTTCTTAGATCCAAACCACTAGCGGGTCTGAAAAATGCAAAGTTTGTGGTGCTAGAAAAGAGTCTTTTAGGGATTATTAATGTCAAATGGAAAAGTTAGCTGTGCACCAAAACCTTTTCTTGTTGATGATCTGAGTGCGCAACAGGTTTTGCATCAAAATATGCAGCCCATGAGACCATACATCCTCCATCCGCAGCGAGTGTGCATTGGTGACATTCAGAAACATTCCTGTGGCTGTTTCATACAGATTTGGATTATACAACATCATCGTGTCTATTTGGAACCTGGATCAACCACCTTTGAGTTAGATTTAGATATCTCCCGTGTAAAGTTGATATTTTTTCCTGACCACAAGGGTTCAACCTCTGGGGAGCTCTTTGTTTTGTACTGATGGTGCCACTAGAGAAGAGGCCAGGGGGGTCGGCAAGACATTTTAATTCTGCCCCCAAATATCCACAAAAACTTGGATGTAAATCTGGCTAGGTGTTGTTTCTGGTGCAGACGAACAAACCATCCATTGGACCTTCTGAGATCACCATCCACCAATGAAAAGGCATCCCTGTGGAGTGCTACTGGCCAGGAAATGGAAACTGCCCACGTCTGGGAGCAGGATATCCACTCTGACTAGCTGATCAGTGGAGGGATAAGCGGAAGGCTCGTCGGGGTCAATGGGGAGACGAGACACAGAACTAACCTTTCTACACGCTGCATTGTTTAAGGCTGAGGAAAAAACAAGGAGGCCCCCTGAGATCCTCCATCCACAGCTCCAAACTGCCGCTGCTGATGAAGAAACAGCCTCTGCTTTACTGTGAACAAACCTTTAAAATCCCTGTCATTAATCGTTCACCAAACACTAATCTATCAACATCTAAACGTGTGACTAAATGTTTGGTCTGGCGGCCAGAAATATGTCTTAAAAACACCTTAATTTCAAGGCCTTCAACAGGTCACAACCCTAATTAACACAATTTGAAACATTTGACATCAATTCCAGGTGTTATTAAAGTTGGGACTCTGGTTCGGAAATATAAATATAAGTTTCAATTAAGGATGCCTTTTGAATGGCTTTTCTGCATCGTTTAGGAGTTTGAAAGAGTTGATGAGCCTTACAGAAAACCCTCCTTCAATAACTCATTACCAACGATCACTGCAACTGTTCCTGAGTTTGCTTCTACCTGAACACTGTTTAATGCTTTTTATATACTGTACATATTATGATGTTGTTTTTGTATGAGATGAGATTAATGGAGATGTTTCATTCGTTTGTAACGACTCACTTCCTGTTGCTGCCTTCTTGGCCAGGTCGTCATTGTAAATGAGAACTGCTTCTCAATTGACTTATCTGGTTAAATAAAGGTAAAAAAACACACACAAAAAACAGTATATGCGATGTAAAAAATGAACGCTACCCCAAAGTTGGGCCTTAAAAAAATATGACTCTAAAAGGGAAAATCTGAGGATTTGTCTGAAGTCGGATGTTCTTTTGTGGGCTAAAACATATTAAGGGGTTTTATGGATTTAGAAGGCCCTTAATCAGATAACTAATTAAACATAGCTACTAATTTATCCATTAATTATCCTCTTTATCTGAATGTGTAATGTGTATTACTAGCCCCGAAAACGACCAATTAATACTTTAATTATATTTTGTGGGTAAATTAGTGATCGAGGAATTGCCTCTCTGCCCTGTAACTGAGCCACAGAAACCCCACTTGTGTTTTCATTTCTCTAAATTCATCTCTAACCCAGACATACGGCGTGATGGAGCGCCACAGCTTCTGTTACCATAGTGACGCGGAGCCGGGTTGTCGTGGCGCCGTGCCGTCATGCCGTCTGTAAAACACCCCAGAGAGATAATGACGGCGCACATCGACCCCGATCATTAACACCGACTGTGCAGCGAGGGAGACAAAGCACAGCAGCCGCCTGTTCAGGCATGTTTATCCATTAAGTGGAGGATGTGTCACTGGGAATTACCTCTAATAGTTTGTGGATATTGAGAATTTAAAGCTGCGTAAATACTCATTAAATGTTGTATTTGTGATGTGGTTTTGCAGCCGTGCAGAGAGAGACGACTGAAAATGGGGAACGCTCTGCAGCGACTTTGACAGGGCTTTATTCTTTGTTTTGTTTTTCGTAAGAAACTGAATCCCTCCGCGCCAGGAATCTGGCCTGGTTCAAACGGGAACGGAGAGGTTTCTCTTTTCTCTCGGTAATCCTGCGAGCGTACTGCCAGCTAGTCGTAGGTTGACAGACCACAGCAGGGACGGAGTGAAAGGCCTCTCTGGTTGATGTGGTTGAGAATCGCCTCGGAGACTTGGACAGAGACACAGAGTCTGATTGGACGCTTGTAATCTGGATAGAAGTTGCTCACACGATCCAGAGAGACACCAACAGCAGCCTCGGTGTCCTGCTTACAGCATTCTGCAGAGATCACCTCGGGTACAGCGTGATATCATCTGGTGTTTGTTATCCAGGCTAAGGGAAGACTTTGGCATGTCTCAGCGCCAAGGAAGAGATGGAAAATGAGCGTAAAGATGAGCTCAGGTTTTGTTTTTAAGAAAGCTCTGTTGTGTGTGTGTGTGTGGGTGTGTGTGTGAAGTTTTTTGGCAAACGCTCTGCTGCACAAAGTTTTGAGCAGTTTTGACAAAATAAGTTCCAACTTCATGTGATTTGCTTTTAGGTTTCTTTAGTTGAGCATCGTTCTATTTATTGAAATGAATCTTAAAGATCTTTTTTTTTTCGGAGAGTGAGATGTTTAGATGGATGTTAGTCTTTTATTACAGATCTTTGTGTTTGAGAAGTCCTCAAACTGGACTCCCTGGCCTGGTTCATATTTCATCCTCGGAGCGGAGCGGCCTCGTTCTTATTGTCGGGCTGAAACCTGACCAGGAGTCCAACTGGAATCCTCTGGCTCAGTATTTAACACCCATCTTCAAGTGTAATCGGTGCTTAACTTCCCACTGAAACCAGTCCTGTAACCGTTGTTTTAATTCTTCTTCTCTCTGTGTTCCTGCAGTCCAGGCCGAGGCCGAGCTAATGGAGTTCAGTCCGTACTACAAGAAGCAGTTCTCTCTGGCTCGTTTCTCCGAGGTAGAAGATGATCTGGAGCAGAACAAAGAGACGATCACGCAGCTGCTCATACAGAGGGTACGTGTCTGCACCGGTGCCAGACCCCCCCGAGTCAGCATTCACTCCTTAAGAATGGGTCCAATGAATCAGAGGTTTGGTTTAAAGGTTAGCAGAGCAACCGCAGCAGTAAGCACATGTGCAGGTGTGACTAACATCTGTGATGTCATCCAGCTGCGTGAGACAGAGAGGAGTCAACTAAATTACAGAGACAGTCTTAGGGGGCGGTGTGAAAAGCTAACGTCTGGATTACATCCAGACTCACGAGGGAAAGGACTTGAAAAATGAAAGTAAGCAAAGGTTTTTAGCCAACTTGTTGTCCCAGTTATTCAATTCAGGCTCACCTGTGAATGAATTTATAAAAAGGCCAAGCTGAGGTATTTTCTCTTGCTTTGAATCCGGATGAATATTTATCAACGTCAGAGCCAATCTGTTGATTAGATTCATAAACTTATAATGATTATTTGTGACTGTGAGCCAGTTGAGGTGAATCATGCATCCCCTGGACACAACAATTCAACACACAGCCTTTTCCCTACAGAAAAAGTCTCTCCGTTACTCTGGATAAGGGTCGGGTTGGAAATCCAAAGTGTTTATAGCCGTTCATAACGGTCACACTCGAATATACATATGAGACGTTCACCGCAGAGAGAATTCAGAGGACAAAATCTAATTCTTGCCACGTTTATAGCCGAGTGTTCATTGTATGTATGTGTGTGTGTGTGTGTGTGTGTGTTGACCAGGGGACTCCTGAAGGGGGCGAGGTGCTGTATGAGGAGGGCGTCCTTTTCTTCGACGACGCCAGGAAGTGGAAGGAGAGGTACGTGGTGGTGAGAGCCAACTACTGCCTGGAGTGTCACGACGGCCTGGAGGTGAGCGTGACAGTCAAATGGCAACATGTCACATTGATCTGTATACACACTCTACACGAAATTGACACATTTAATCTCCGCTTTTTTCTTTTCCTTCTGTCCTCTTCCACCAGACTTTTATGAAAGGGATTCCTCCCCGTCAGAAGCTGCTGCCTACAGGGGGCAGTGTGCCGACCACAGAGGAGAAGTACATGGCCATGGTGGACAAGTGCTTCCCCGATGACACCAGTGAGTAAAAGATCTGATAACTCTTAGTAACAGCTTCAATTACGTGTACACATAATAATTAGATAATCCTTAATATGTTGTCTATTCACTGTTCCTGTCAGCATCAGCTGCACTTTAATTAATGATACCTTACATGCAACGTAATGCTACACAACCAGCCTACCTGCTAACGATAGCCAGTGGTGAGTACTCTACTGAAGTACAATTTGGACATACTTGTACTTTACTTGAGTATTTCTATGCTGTGCTACTTTATTTACTTCATGAGTATTTTTCTTTTTACACTGTGGTATTTCTACTTTTACTTAATTAAAGGATCTGAGTTCTTCCTCCGCCACTGATATAGAGCATATTAGATCCTTAATATTAATGTCCACTAACAGAAATTGCGAAAATTGTCTCTTACTTTTTTAATCCATCCAATAATTGAGTGTGTTGGGTTGCAGTGGACATCACAGCTTCTCAGTGCTTCTAATGTCTCCACAATCTCCACAAAGAATGTCTCTTCATGGTTTTTTGATCACGGTCATTTCAGCCTCAGGTGTTTTGAAAAGGGACGTGTATCTGAGTAAACAGTAACCTCTGCAGAGGATGAGCTTCTTAACGTAATGGTGTCATTTGGCTGTTTGCATACAAACACGCTCTCATAAAGGGATGCTGGGTATTATTCCCACCGGTTTGGTACGGATAAGAAAAAAAAAGAAACATTGCAGGATTCATGATTTTATCCTTCAGTAGTTCTCTACGTTCAAAGTCGATAAAATAGACAGGTTAAGGTTTTTAAAAATAAAATTATTCCACATATAGATTTCAAATTTCACCGACTCAGAGTTTACTAAACATCCCCATCTATGAGAAAAAATTCAAATACGTCATCATACATATCACTGGCCATTCAGGAAGGTGGTTTTGTTGTTGCTTGCAGAGAAGACAAAGCAGCTCTTAAAGAGGAGCTCACTGTTATCCCTCCAGATATTTAATCTGATTATATTTTTGTTAAGCCTTGTATCTTAACGGAAGAGAAGAGAAACCTGTTTCCCACTGTGATCTTGAACAACAACCTCCCACCCACGGGTGCTCAACAAAGCTAAAAGCAGCTCAGGTGGGAGTTTGGGGAACCAAGAGAGACTGAAGGAATTTAGGAGGAACGTTGTTTAAGACACGCAGGCACCAACGCAGCACTTTGATCACGATCATTGATTTAGTTCACTCTGGTTTATACATGAATTTAAAAAAAACACACATTGCAGTTTGACTGTGTATTTATTGAACTCTGGCAGCGGCAAACAGTTTTTAGATGTCATAAAATCAAGCTTAGATGGTTCTGCTTCTTGGAAGGAAATGTGGTTGTATTAAAGTAAATTTAAAAAAATATATATGTCTTCAAGTTTTCAGTGGAATACTCCTTTAATGGTATCCATCAGTGTGCTGAGTGTGCAGCAGAAGAACTGGTGTTCTGTGTAAAAGCAGACAGGTTTGTACAGGCTCTGATCCAGACTGTTTCTATTTACTGTGTGGCTTTCCCTCAAAAAAATCAGCCACCGAGTGAAGAACCGACAGACGGTTCAGACTCTGAATACTGCTGCCTTCAGACCGCAGGGCTCACCTGGACTAACCTGTGTGCGATCCGAGCCGGTTTCACTCGCCTGTTTCTAAGCTGTGTGTAGCACTCAACTAAAGGCAGCAGCTCAGAGGCAGAGCGGACTCAGTAGATTATCAATTAATTTGATATAAAATTAACAATTAATAATTGTTTTAGAACACCTTAATTCATGAGCAAGCACTGGAAAGAAATCACTAATTATCATCCAGTAAAATGTTTTATCTATTAGAGAACTTCATATTCATCCATAACCAGAATATAGTGGACTAAATTGTCTATAGAAAAATGGGCACAATTTATGTATTTTGTTGCTCATACTAAACGCACCAAGCAAATATATTATAAGACAATTAGAGGCTAATGAATAACAAAATGTTTCCCAAAATAACTTGCCTTTTTTATATTTGAAATATAATCAAATTAAACTCAAAAAATAGATAAACCGAGCATTGTGAACACAGTTTTTTTCTCCTTATGTGTTTGCGGTTGTTGACGTCACTGGAGATTTAATGGTCATGTGTTTATTAAGAGAATCTGAACTGCAAATCTGACGGAATAAACTCAGTCTAAATGGTGACTTCTTTGATTTAAGTGTCCCTGGCTTGAATAGAGCAGAGAGAGAGATATTTTGTTGTTTGGGAAGCTCGTACTGTTGTGCTGCCACCTGTCCTGAGGGCCTTTGATTCAACTTAAAGGAGGTCAGAGTCTCATCTGGTTTAGTGGTTTAAAACGTAGAGCAGTCACTGAACCGGTAAGAGCCTAAAGACATTATATCTGAAAGCTGAGGAGTCATTCATGCATCTCTTTCTCCTCAGATCAGTCTGTTACGGTGCGTGATGAAGTGTTAATGCTTAAATGAGCTGAAGACGCAGAGAGCAGAAGGGAAACAACACATTTAATTTCCACGCTACTCCCTTATAAGCCACTGTATGTGTAACCCACACAGTAACCAATAATCAGTATAACAACGTATACTACTATCGTGTGGACATACCAACCGCCCAAACGTTGAGCCGCTAGTGTGGCTAAAACAACAGCTCTCCATTCAGTTCGGTGGTCGCCATCAACGGATCTCCGTGTTTTCTGTTTCAGACGTGAAGGAGGACTTTGCTCCTCCTCTGTCGGGGATGCCTGGACAGTTCCCCGTCTACCTGCGTCTGCCCTACAGGAGAGACTCCTACTTCTGCTTCAGACAGGAGGCCAAAAGAGCTGCCTTCCTCTCCATCCTGTCAGACTGCATCAGACACCAGAACCAAGGTGAGACAGATACAGTCGATCCAAATACTCTACAGTAGGTTTACCGTCCGCTGCTACAACGCAGCCATGGGGGGTCTCTCATTCTCTTTTAGGGCTGGGTATCGTTTGGCACTTTGGGATTTGAGTTTCAATGTTTGTTTGTTTTTCTTTTCGATATCTTACTTTGGGGGATTATTAACTTGTTTTTCTACTAAATCCTTTTTTCATTTTTCTTAACTTACTTACTTTAACTTTACCAAATGAAATACAGTCTGAAGTTGGCCGATTTTTCAAAAACACAGTGAAGATCCTAGTTGCTTTTTTTAACGTAATACTGTTGAGTGATACGGAATAAAGCTGAAACAGGAATGCCAGACCTTTGCTGGCTCCAGATTGCTGGTTTTCTATATATTTAATCTACCACAGGGCGACTAAATATCTTTGTTATGGACTTTTAGACATTGTGATAGACGGTTTCAATATTATGAGACGTTTTACAACCTGTGGAATAAAATGGTTCTACCTACAGTATCATATTGATTAAAAACATTCATTTTTCAACACATGGTCACTCGTGATCCATTTTACACTCTGCAGAAATGACTTGAGAAGCAATGGCACTCTATCATCAGCAGCAGCATCTGAGTGTGCGAGAGATGGTTTTAGGTTGCATGGCATCACTTGAACCACTTTTGGCAGTTGCCATGGCAACAGACTCGCCCCGCACCAGCTCCGAGGAGCAGAGACGGGCATATTTTTTTTATAATCAAGTTGAAGCAGAACATCTCTGCCCGAGCGAGTTGACAAAGCATTTAATTCACATCTCGGCTTAGAATAAAGCGAACACACTGAGAGACTGACGACGCGTTATTTGTAGTCGTTTGGTTAATCTCTCCATCTCTCTCCTCTCTGTCAGACTTCCTGAAGAAGAAGACGTGTGAAGTGCAGGCCTTCCTCAAAGCCATCCAGCTCTACAGACAGGACAAAGGCCAATACGAGGCCTGGGACATGCTGATAGGGAGCGATGTCAGGGTACGTTTTGGTGTATTCACATTCTCAGTACGAGTTACTTTGGCAACAACTGCTCCTCCTGCGGTCAACACATGCTTACACATGTTAAGCTCCACTAAAGGATGAATGAGTTATTTAGCGAGCTTTAGAGGTGTTCCCTGTTTCCAGGCTTTATGCTAAGCTAGGCTAACCACACTCTCACCCTGTACTTAACACACAGACGTGAGATTGATGTTGCATCTTAATTGCAAGGACACCAAACAAATAATAATTCAGAAACTATAACTGCACAAAATTGCTTCGAAACTCAACATATGATAACTTCTAATCTACAGAAAAGCTTTCTGTTGAGTAAAAGATAAAGAAAAGAGAAATACTTTTACTATTTTTTCTCTCTTGTTTCATCTACAGTTCCACCTGCAGTGTTGCTTGCCCTGTTAGCACCGTTAGCTTCTAGCTGGTGGCTCAACATCATCGTCACAGTTTCATTTGTACAGACTGCAGTGTATCTGCACCATAGAAGGATGCAGGACTTGTACTAATCAGAGTCACGGCTTTGTAGCCTCTCGCTCAGTTTGCTGTAATCTTCCAGTAGCCGAGAAAACCCTGAGAACACAGAGAGGAGGAGAGGAGCTTTGGTTCACTTAGACCGTCGTCCTTACTCTCTTTTTCTCTACCTTCCTCCTCCTTCCCCGAGCTCTCTGCTCTGCTGTTGTGCTTCCTGCTGTTTTTCTCTCTGTTCTCTTTTAAAGCAGTGCAGGAATCCTCCCTCATAGTGTCAGTGTAAATGCTCCATTGTGTTGCTGTTCGCTCACATTGTGTTTAGTCACAATTAGTTGGAGGTGAGAGGAAGTTTGACTTGCTGCAGGAAACACGCACACACACACACACAGTTTAAAGTCTATTTGTTTTTCTCTGCACTTAGCATGCAGTTCATACATGTATAAAGTAAAAATACACACCAAAGTACACAGGTTTGCACTCGCACACCGGTATTTTCTTTCCTTCTTGTACATAGCTCTTGTCTGACACACAAACACACACACACACACACCAGTGAGAGCTAAGACATGAGAGGAATGAATGAAATGTTGGCAGCAGAAACACGAACAGTTTCACTGAGTTTTATAACCACTGCATCAAAATCACAAATCATTCAAAAACAGTTTTTTGGAGTGTGTGTGTGTGTGTGTGTGTGTGTGTGTGTGTGTGTGTGTGTGTGTGCGCGCGTGTGCGCAGACTCACTGTCTACTAACATGTTTAGTGATCATGTAAGTAATTTATAAAAAGACGTGAAAATTCAGTCAGTCAACAGTGAGGTATAGCATTTGATTTTATTAATCAAATATGGTCTATGTTGCCTCATCAGGTTACAAACACAACATATGCCAGACTGGCGGCATGTTGCAAAAAAAAGACCTGTCCACATTGAGGACTACATTCCTGCCTCTGCCTGTTCTCCGTCTGTTAGTCAGCACGTAATCTCAGAAACTTGAGATTTCAACGACACTTTGTTAAAATTGAGGACTGGATTTGGTGTGGGGGATTTCTTCACATGAATGTTTTCCCATGAACTTCTGCACTGTTGAATGAAGAAAATCTGGCACATTTATCATATCGCTGTCCGTCTCAATGTGTATTTTGATGTCGATCCAGCACTTAGTTCTCTCTAGTTTGGGTTGTTTGACCCGAGGCTGAATTACCAACTGGGCAAAACTATTGCAAATATTTTAACGGCAAAATTAGAGCAGCGAGCAGCCGTGACATTTCTTCAGAAGATGTAGCCTTTTCTCGTTCCAAATGTATTTGGTAATGTGCACCACTAAAGAATGATATCAATGGAAATGGGAACATTTCATGTCTTGAGGTCCTGTCTTATGTCAAAGTCCAGTTTTAAGACCTTTGATATTTCGGTCAAGGCTATGCTTACATAGTGCATATTCAGAGAGTGTGTTTATCAGACTGATATGTTTGGAATCTTTGGGATTTAGAAGGTTTAAAAAATAAATAATTCAAATTATGACATATTTGTGAATAGTATCTAAACAAAAACTTTAGATACAGATCCCTTAGATTTTTCTTTTTAAGATTTGTGACCAAGATACATTCTTCGTGGGACATTTTACAAAGTAAAAATAACTTGTCAGTGCTCTGTGATGAGCGCGCTGTTTTTTTAAATGTCTTCAAACCTAGTTTGGTGTATCTGCAATAATGTTATGGGTCTGTCTCTATTTTATTGTCTATTTTCTCAAACAAATGTGTTTCATAACCAAACTAACTAACTAGCGCCTGCATAGAAGAACCCCTCGTGGCTGCGGTTGATAGATAATCTTTTAACAGAGTAATCCAACATCACTTTGGTAGCCTGAGATATTTTCAAAAAGGCTTAAATGTGTTTGAAGACAGGACTGAAATTATAATTATTCCTTTTTTTGCAACACATCATTAAGCATTTAAACTGTCTGTGTGTTTGCAGGTGATGGCCAACGTGGTGATGGAGCAGCTGCTGCCGTCTCTTCAGAAAGACATGCTGCCTCGCCTCAAAGCCAAGAAGACAGAGAGGAAGAGAGTCTGGTTTGCTGTGAGTCACACTGTTAACGTGATACCTTGTTATATCCTTTGTGACTGATGTTGCTGCTGGCGCACTGTCAATGCAGATGAAAAATAATCAGTTTTAGTTTGAAAATTGGCACACAGGGAACATTTTTATCCATCGTCGTCTTTGATGGCGTTTTATCACAAATTTAACCTAGTTAAATCTAGAATGGTAAATCATGCATTCATGCTGTGGGCTATTCCCTGCATTATAATATGTCTCGACTGTAAATCTTCATATGGAACGATTTCATTTTGTCAAGCAGTAAGAAATGAAGTGAGCTGAAAACTTGGAAAGAATTGACTTTATTTATATAACCCGTGTTTGATCAATGGACTGTTTGTGCCCAGACGGTGGAGGCGGCGTACATCCTGGTCCAGGAGCATCTGTTGGAGGGACTCTCAGCACTGAAGGAGGAATGTCGAACGTCAGTCCGGCAGCAGGAGGTGCTCATCCACTCCGACATGGACCAGATCCTCAACTCCAGACGGCAGCTGGAGGAAACAGTCCGAGGTAACGTTCAGCGTCTGACTGATAGTCAGTGTGAATGAAACTGGCTCTGGTTGTTCTGAGGGTAAATATTTGAATTTCTTCCTCCAGACAAAGTGTCGGAGCGAGCAGAGAAGCTGTGCTCCGAGTCCGTCCAGCCGTACCTGGCCTCAGTCCTGGAGGAGCTGATGGAGCCGGTCAGCTCTGGCTTCCTGGAGGGACGGCAGCTGAGCGAACGCGCCATGGACCAGGTGTGTCAGGACGTCCTGCGGCTGGCAGACAATGAGGAACTGAAGAAGGTTCGTCAATCGTCTACAGTATATCCTCTTTTGTGTTTTTTCCTCTGTTATTGGAGACCCAACCTGACAACCTGACATCACAAATAAAGGAGTAAATAAACTGAGGAATAATCATCTTTTACCGTCGCCTCTAGATTTAGTTTTCTTCTTGCTGAATACATAGCAGACTTTTCCTCATGAGAAAGGCCTGGATTAATTTTTCCATAAGTATTGAAATGAAGGCCTCATCCAAAGGTGTCTACTCAACATATCCCCCCCCCCCCCCACACACACACACACACACACACAATCACACACACACAATGATATTATGTCTGATATAGCATGGCATAATTTGTACTCATGAATTAATTATTTCAGCTCATAAATCATTAGAGTTCAACATTCAAACAAATGTGTTTACACTCCAACAATATGTTTAGGAAACATCAACAAAATAAAAAATGGTTTTCGACAGTTGGTCGGACAAAACAAGCTATTTGAGGACGTCACCCTTGACATTAGGAAATAAATCGACACGTGGAGGGATGATGAAAATAATTGTTAGCTGCAGCATGACAAAATCCAAGCAGCTCTTTTAGATCAGATTATCTACAGTCTGACAACTTCCACAGTTTATCTTACACTGCATTAGGCTCCACAGTGCTGTATGTGAACTATGTGACAGCCACCAAAGCTGACCAGTAAAACAATACTCCAACATTGCATCATAGAGAGAGAGAAACGTAATAACTTTCAATTCAGTTCAGTATTTGTAGGACCTTGTTTCTAAAACACAGCTGCTAACTCTCTGGGTGGTCCACCTTAACTGACTGGAAGTACACACAGAAACATGTGACTTTAGTTCCTACTGTTACATTTGCTCAAATCTGTCATTTTTAGGCCCAAATTAGTTTAGATTCCCTGGCGGGCTCCTTTCTGCTCAGCCCTTCAAAATAAGAGTTACCTGTAGCTACATGAGCTAAACAGGCTGTTATTTTAAACCCCCTCCTCTCTCCGTCTCTCAGGCTCTGGCAGACATGGCCAAACCGAACCTGCTGAACGGCTACCAGAAGATCGGCTCGCTGCAGGAGAAACTGCAGCACCTGCAGGAGAGATTTGGTTTCTCCAACATTTCAGGAGTGGTCCACAGCGCTCAGATCGACCTGCAGCAGGTACACACACACACACACACACACACACACACACACACACACACACACACGCACACACACACCAGTATTTATTCCAGCACTGTACTAGAGTACAGTTTTATGGTAGTTGTTCTTTCTTGAGTATTTCCATTATATGATACTTCTTACTTTTATACTTCCCTCCACTACATTTATTTCTCAGCCTTAGTTACTTGTTTAACATAAAGGTTATGAAAGGTACGAAAAAGGTTATAAAATATACATTGAAAACACATTATTTAAGATTAAACCAGTGATTCCCAAACCTTTTTTTATGTGACCTTTTACAAAAGTAGTCAGGGCCTCTAGTCATGTTTCAGATGTCGGAGTTGTCAGTTCCACCACACAAAAGCAAATTTTAGCTTTAACTTTAGCACGATTATGAATACATTACTTGTGAGTATTATTTCATTGTATTGGTAGTTTTACTTAAAGGGACTGAATACTTGGTTCCATTGACTCTCTCTTAGTTCAGATGACTCAGCTGTCATGCTTCTGCTCAGACAGAGTGGGCGGAGGAATCTTTCTGGCAGTCGTTTTGTCAGCCAACATTTCTGACACAGTTGTGATTGTAATCTATGTTCCTTCGATACATTGACTCGGCACTTCAGTGTGTGAACACATTTTGAGTCTGCTGATGTTTCACACTGATGGGATTTCCAGCTGCTTTTTTTTTCGCTCTGTGTTTGGGGCATTTAACTGCTGTCTGATCTGATCTCATCGTTCGTGTGTGTGTGTGCGTGTGCGCGCGCGCTTCAGCTGACTGAGAATGCAGCCTCCACGTTTGAACAGCTGTTTCACAAAGCCGTCCAGGACAACCCCGAGAACCCCGGCTCTGCCATCGAGAAGGCCAAACACAGAGTGCTCAAGGTCAGATTGTAATTTACAACACGTAGCCTCCATGTTTCTAAACTATTCTTTGTCAGACTTTTACGGAATTAAGAAACACATTATTGCCATTCCAAATCCAATCCGACAGAGAAAGATAAACAAGAGGGGAGAGAGAGACACGTCGGAGAGAGGGACAAGAAATACTATAGACGGGAGACAGAGGGGAGAGGGACAAAGGGGGAGGGAGAGAGGGGGGCAGAAAGGGTAGAGAGAGATGAGAGAGAGATAGGATGGGAAGGGAGAGACGGGACAGAGAGACATAAACATAAACATCCAGGGGAGGGGAGACAGAGGCCAGAGAAGGTAAGAGACAGAGACGAGATAGGGAGGGGGAGACGTGAGAGGGGAGAGAGACATGTTACTGAGGGGGAGGGGAGAGAGGGGCGGATGAGAGAAAGACATGAGAAGGGGGGGAGAGAGACAGACTATAGACGGGAGTGAGAGACGAAAGTGAGTGGGAGAGGGGACGAGAGAGGAACTAGGGAGACAAGAACGAAAAAAGGGAGGGGGAGAGAGGCAAGAGGGAGCCAGGGAGGGGGAGATGTGAGAGAGAGAGAGAGACAGAGAGAGACGAGAGGCAGGGAAGGGGATAGAGAGAGGAAGAGACGAGAGAAGGGGGGAGAGACAAAACAAGAGCTCCCTGACATGAAGTGACGAGTCTCGTCTGTCCCCTTTGTGTCCTGCAGCAATACGACTATGACAGCAGCACAGTGAGGAAGAGGATCTCCAGGGAGGCCCTCGTCTCCGTCACTCTGCCCTTCATCAAGAAGAGTCTGGCCGCCACCTGCAAAACTGTGAGTCTCACACAAACACACATATATATAGACTTACTATGATCAATGATCATTAACTCCACCATTATTCAGAAAGCTACGATGGTTTCAGAGCATGACCCATGTGTCTCTCTCTCTCTGTACAGGAGCTTCAGGGTCTCGAGCGGTCAGTCTACGCCGACCACTCCAACTACATCCACATTGAGAACGTCTATGAGAGCATCCTCCTGCAATCTCTGGACAAGGAGGTCACCAAAGGTATGATACAAGTTACACAGATGGTGACAAATTAGCCACACACACACACACACACACACACACACACACACACACACAGAGACGCCGCTAATCCTTCCCATTTTCTCCCACAGTGGTGAAGGAGGCGGCCAGCCTGAAGAAGTACAACCTGTTCACAGACAGCAGAGACCTGCTCAGTCAGTCCAGCCGCTCCAGCCTCTCCTCCCCGCCCGTCTCCACTCCGGGCACCCCCGCCATGGTGCTCGCCTCCCCCTCCAAAACCTCCGTTGAGCCCCAGCCCCCGTCTCCTCTTGCAGTCAACGGTCTGTCGTCCAGCCCCCGGAAGGAAGGGCAGACGGAGGAGAGCGAAGCCCCGAAGGACGCGGCCCTTATTGAGACGCCTCTGGGGAAGGTTGAACAAAAAGACGTAGCTCAGACCGTCGCAGTCGGCGAGGAGGCAGGGGCAACGCCACTCACAGCAGAGGAAGTCTTCCTAACTGTGAAGGCAGAAGCAGGCCCCCCTGCTTCAGCAGACACATCCAACCCGAGTGAGACGCAGGAGGTTAACGTAGAAGCGCCTCCAGAGACTGTGATCGAAAAGGAAGAGATTTCTGTCGAGACAGAAACAGTGGAGATGGCCGCTGAGCCTCAGGTGCAGAGGACAGATGCTCCAAAAGAGGCAGATGTCATTTTGTCAGAAACCCCTATTGTTGTAGAAAGCACAAAGACAGATGTAGAAGAAGCAGCAGCACGGATAGAAGCTCCTGTACCAAGCTGTGACCCCACTGATGAACCAGCCAACACTTCAGCAGAGAGCACTGATTCCCAAACTGCAGCCAGCTGTGTAGAAGAGACAAACTGTGGATGCTCAGAAATCAAGTTAGAGGCTCCCTCTAGTGGTCAAACAGCTGAACTTACATCTGCAGACATCAGCCTGGACATGAAGCGACAGGAGGCAGAACCAGTGACCGTCTCAGACCCCAATTCCATGGACGTGTCGGTGGGGAGTGAGTCGGCCCCGTCGGACGTGGAGTCCATGGAGGAGGGGAAAGTAACGCAGAGCAGCGAGGACGAAGTCTCAACGACCTCCGACGTCTTGGAGGACGAGGCCAACGTCAGCAAATCACCTGTGAGCTTGGACGATCCCGCCGGGGACAAAACCACGGGTGACAAGGAGTCTCCTCAGGCCCAGACGGAAGCTGTGATGAGCGGCGTCGAGGCGGGTGCGAGCGCGGAGCCCTCTGCGGCAAACTCTCAGCCCTCTGAGCCCGCAGAGGATGAAGGCCCTGAAGCACAGCCCATTGGCTGCATCAAGGAGATCCGTGACCTAGTGATGGAGGTGATGGAGGTGGAGGAGCCGGTGCAGCGGTACCCCAGCGGAGTGCCAAAAGAGGAGGAATGAGGCACCAGGATCCATCACAACTGCATTACAAAAGTGATTCAGGATGTTCTGCTGAAGGGAACCAACTCATGACCAGAATAGAACATTAAGCCTCAAACTGTCCGGGAGTCAAAACATTTGTTCTCAGAGTCGACGCAGGAAAAGACTCCTGACAAACATTCACAACAGCTTCCATGAACTTTTTTTTTATTTTAAACACATTTGCATGAAATGATGGTAAATTATTCATAAAAATCAATATATCAGCTGTGTCAGGTGTATAAAACAAACATGTCTGTTTCATTCAGTGAATTTTAACACTATAATTATTTTTGTGGAAATTGCATTATGCTGTGGTATCTATTTCAAAGGAATAGTTAGGACATTTTATAGAATGTATTTATGCGCTTTCTCTCTGAGAATAGGATGTGAGGATGGATATCAATCTCCGTATAGGATGTCTGTGTATAAGCCGCTTAGCTTAGCAGGGGAAATGGCCAGCTTGGTTCAGTCTAATTTGAAATGACACCTACAAACGTTTTATCTGTCAGCTCTGTACAGGCAGACATGAGATTTGTATCCATCTGAATATCTCACTCTCTGGGGAAAAAAAGCAAATGAATGAATTCCCTAAAATGCCAGACTATGAGCTTTAAATTGTTTAGAAATGACTATTAACAGATATTTAATTATATTAGACCACATGCGGCTTTGACAGCAGTGCAGAGTGGCGGCTGTGAGCTAGCCAGTGGGGGGCACTCACGTGCACTAAAAGCCACGTGGCAGGAAAACACACACACACACACACACACACACACACACACACACACACACACAGAGAGAGGAAGAGCGACTTCATTCTCTGCTCCAGTAGGCATTCATCCTCTATATCTTTACACAGCAAATCGCTGTTGTATTAATGCTCTGAATGTTTAATGCAGCTTCTTCAATGTGATTATTTAACCTACTGAAGGACTTTCTTTTAGCTAAAAAGGAAAGTAACTGCCTTCACAGAACCTCCATGTTGCCTCCTCGTGCCTTATCGTCACAAAATGAAGGAAACCAGCTTCTGTCCTGTGGAAGCGGTTGCCGTAGAGACTGGTCCGAGTCTCAATACCTGTGCCTTTTACCTGTGTAGAGCATCTTACACAGACGTGGTTAGCGGGACAGTTTACAGTGCGAGTACAGGCAGAAACACTTGACCATTTACTGTCAACGGGATGACTGTTTGTTAAAGGAAACATTGTGTGGAAATATGAACAAAATAAGTCAAAAAAACAAACTATTTCTGCGTGAACTTTCTGGTTTCGATGTTGGGAAAACGACACAAGCAATAAATGGTTTTATTTGCCAATAAAACAAATACAGCATGAGGTTTGGATTATTTATTTTTGGTCCACAATCACAGACACACTGTGCTGAGAAATATCAAAAAGCTGCAAGTAATCCAACATCTGTGACAGATTAAATACAGTTTGACTACAATAATACGCCTTACATTTACTTGATATATTGCACCACATATGTCAAGTGGGCCAGCAGGGCTCCAGGCACATCAAGGACAGGATAAAGAACACAAATAAATTATTTAACATTTGTTCATATTTAAGACCCATTTTTCAAGATAAGACAATAAAGGCTGTTCTCATTTACATTCATAGAAATAAAGATAAATGACATGTTAATCCAGTGCTTGGATTTCTTTTTCTTACGGTCCACTGCAGAGATTCTAGTGAGACACAGTGTGTACTCTTTATTTTATGGTCCATCGTTATCCTGGAAAGAACTGTGTAATTTGGTACTAATTATAGAGACAATACTCAGACAGTTATTCGAGTTTAGAGAGTTATGTGGAGTTTATAAAAGCTTGTTGATGTATGAGTGAGCAAATCCAGCTGACCTGCTGGGCACAGACTGAAAGACTCTCCAGGTTCTACACCAATTGAACACTGTCCGTCTGCAGTAGTTTCCCTCTAATATGTACCAAATTATAGAGTGATTTTCAACAAGCTTCCTTGGAAATCAAGAAAATACAGAACCGGAAATATAAGGTGTTACCCAAATATAATGTATTGTTATTTAACACAACTATTGTTAGTGCGTAACTCAGTGGTTTTAAACCCGTGGGACAGACTATACTACGTCCCAGTCGACCCAAGAGGAATCTGAGAGGTCACCATATGATTAAAGGGATAAGATAGAAAGTGCATTTTCTCAGTTTTGCTTTATTCACTTCCACCTCTTTGGGCCTCACAAGCAAAAAATAAATAAATACGCCAGCCAGTGAGCCAGACTGGTTTTAAGTCTATAAAATATTATCTCTGTTAAAGGATGTTTTCCTCTTGTTAATAAATCCAACCGACAGTGAATCTACTATCGTCTACTAACAAGTATTGTGTGTGTGTGTGTGTGTCAGAGCCCAGTGTGTCTTCTTCCTCTGAGCCATAGAGCTCCTTTAAAAACACATCAATGAGCCACACTGTTGCACTGGATGACATGTTCCTTCACCACCATGAATACACACTAGTTTATTTTGACTCAATCCCACACGCACCATCCTGCTGCCACAAGTACTCACTACAGCTCCAAATGTGGATTAATCCGCTGCTGAAAATAGTCCCCAACAAATGCACTATTTCCTCCTGTTTGATAAAAGTACTATGACTAGCTGTTTAAGATTACAGCCTTTTTTGCTTTAAGGGAACTATATACTTAAAGGTTGATGTTAATATGTACCAATGGGCTTGGAGCTGAGAGACACAGACAGGAAGTCAGAAAGTATTGAGACGCACCAACACATTGTTGGTTTGAGTCTGCGCATGGCATTTGTTGACATCAGAACATTTTTTTAGAATATCACCAGATTCAAAACGCACTTATCTCTTTCTATGTATTTTCTTTGCCTGAAGTAGCGTTCATGAACGATCACATTAGGCAGGCTGTGGTTACAAAAAAAACATTCGTTTGTGTCAAACGTGACGGTAAAAATCTGAAAAACGCAGTTCAGTGTTAAATCAACAGCTGCCTAGTTTATCACGAAACAGACGTATTAAGCTTTGATTCACAGCACTTGTTCTTGAATCACATAAGCAATATTAAAATATTTACAAATTCATCTGAATAAAAGTCAAATGAAATTTAAGATCGACCTTAATATGTGAGTTTTTTTAGTTGTTTTAAGTGTAAAATATTTAAATAATATGAATAAATCACATACTTTCATATGGAGTCTTGAGGATTTTGTGGGTGGGGTAATTCAACTTATTCTCTGTGCAGTTGTTTGTTCCAGCAGTTTCCCCTGAATCAGTGCCGGTATATTCAAATAAGAAAAATTACTTTTGGTACTCCAACATCAAGAAAAGGACACTTCCTGTTTGCCTCATGAACAGACTGACTGACCCTTATGGTGATAATTATTTTGCTGTGACGACATATAAAGCGCTGAGCGATGCTCAAAGAAAAGACACCTGTCAATGCTATTCCTCCACAATCAAGATGCAGCTTCAGTGGCCCAGTGGGCACGACGCCTGTACAGTGTTTTGTGTGTCAGGGGTTCCAGGTTTACCGGGAGGCGGTGTTGTAGTTGAAGAAAAACTGCTCGTCTGGGCGGAAGCCGTAGGCGCTGACAGGTCGATCTGCTGGGACAAACTGCTCCGACAAACTGAAAGGACAAACGAAAGAAGGCGGAGATGGGAGAAATTAAGACAATCTGATTCACCATTACCAATTACGGAACCTTTTTTTTTTACATAACCTTAAAAAATACGAAACAGTCTTTTACATGATTATGACAGAGATACACACAATTCTTAAACCTTTGACTCGACTGCTTTCGAGAACCAGGAGTGAGCACCAATGGCCAAGACATGAACTAAAATAAGCCCCCGGTAGTCTTGTGGGCAGAGATAAGAGCGATGAATTCATCCTTTTGAAAGAAACTAAGTAGGAAAGCAACTGGGAATTTCTTAACACAATCAAGTAATTTTACAAGACCAAAACAAAATCCCCCAAAAGTTAAAAAACATCGTCAGATATCTAAAATGCACCATGGTAATGGAGCTGATGCAAAGCTTTTATTTCTTTGCAGAGATCCTGGTGCTTTCTTATTCACAGCCACATTTTATAAGCTTGTGTGAAATCCAAGTTTGTAACAAGTAACTTCAAGTGTCAGATGAATGTAGTGGAGTAAAGCGTACTGCGACACAGTTTGACATGGTGCACACATTGCCTACAATAGTGAGCCTCCAACGTTGTGTCAACAGTTTGTGTTAGTCTCTTTCCTGTTTCAACATGACAACGTGCACAAAGCCAGCTCTATAAAGAAATAGTTTCCCCAGTTTGATGTGAAAGAACTTGACTGGTCTGCAGAGTCCTGAACTCAACCCCATCCAACACCTTTGGGATGAACTGGAACATCACCTGAGAGTCAGACCTGAATCACCCATTGTTAGCATTGGACCTCACTACTGCTCTCGTGTCCAAGCGTCCAAACATCTGGAGGAAAGACTGAAACCAGAAAGCACCGGCACCACCACCAGGTGGAGCTCTGATACCAGACATCTCTATGGAACCCCCCCCCCCCCAAACTCCTAACGCCGGGCCGGACCAATCACTCACGGTGAAGAAAAGGGAAAAAAGAAAACTCATAAAAAGTTAATGTAATATTCATCTGCCCTGATGCAGGTGTTGGACATCCACAATGAGTGTGTGAGTTACAGACTGCTAATGGCTGGAGGGGTAAACAGAAGAGCGGCCAAGCCGTAAAAAAAAAAACCGGAGAGATGTCAAAACACAGCGCCGTGGAGGCTGACGGCCAAACCTGGAGGACCTGGCTGCCCTCCGCTTGGCAACAGAGGCCTGTTGAGGGGGATGATAAAAGGCCTGTATCTGCAGCGTATAAATCAGTTACTACGGGGATGTGGATACGGAGGGTGGGGGCCGATTTCACGCTCCATCTTCTGACCAGCTGCTGGGAGTTTGTGTCTGGTTGTGGTGGTGGTTGTTCACCTCGAACAGGCCGGTCGATGGATAAACTGGGCCCTGATGGATGACACCACATCTCACACGTATCCCCGTCTTTCTCCTCGCTGGCCGGCCCGCCGTCCTCCCTCGGCCTTCTAAAATACGAGCTGTTTGCTTTGCCCCTACAAGCGCCTATAATGACGTGTTGTTTTTAGCCAAATCACTTCCAGCGATCAGTTACACAGCTTGCAGCATATCCCCACTCTCCCTCCTCCTCCTCCTCCTCCTCCTCCTCCTCTCCGTTTTGCCTTTGCCCCCTGCCGTCTCTCCTCCCCCCCCTCCCACAACCACCATCTCCTCTCCCTCCTCTCTGGGCAGAAATATGTCTTTTTCCTCTCCGCACGCTACGGCTGTCAGGGGGGATTTGAGAGCCCGGCTAAAGGAGGCTGGAGGAACACTGGAGCTCTGAGTCACACCATCCGTCTGCCTGCCTGCCCGCCCGCCTGCCTGCCCGCCCGCCTGCCTGCAGGCAGAGTAGAGTCATGTAGAGTGGTGACCTGTGACCTGTAGAGTCATGAAGAGTCATGAAGTTCAGACGGGACCAAAAACACTGAGCATATAGTCGAATCCTGAGTTATTAATCTCCACTACGATTGCTAATTCAATTCAATTTGAAGATGTGACCTCAGGCCCTGGGGACTTGTGGCCAAGCTGACTACTTCTGATCTCTTGTCCCAGGTTGCGTAAGTCTACAGGTTCTGACCAGTTGAAACACATTGTGACTCCTCAGATTGTCTTAGTTGAATATTTTGGGAGTCATACAATTATTCTGATGAAAAAAAAGGAGACTAAAGAATATCCTAAAAAACACAATCTGTCAGATTTATCTTGCAACCCTTAACGGACAGATGACCAATCCTGAGCCAATCATTAACTGTCTGATTGAGTAATAATTCATTTAACTTAAACTGCAAACATTGACTGAAGACCGGAGCATACACTGAGTTTGTTTTCATGTAGAACTTTAGTTACAGTAAAACAAGATATATAGACTTAAACATCATGTGACTGCCAATAAATTAAAGGAATGTGATGTTTCTGATTACAGTAATAATATGATGTTAACATTAGAGGCACACAGTCAGACGGAGACGACTAATTGGTTTTCCTTTGATAGAAAAATGGATTTTAACATTTCTACTATTCAATACATTTTGGATGTTTGTCAGTTGAAGCTAGCAGTTCCAAAGCGCTCATGATTTATTATAGATCTGTCTTAAATACATAACGAAATATGTAACCCTGTTATGTATTTTTTTTTTAAAGAAAGGCTGAAGAACTGAACTGATTATGCAAACTGAATCAATAAAAATGATTTAAATGTTTCTAGAAACACTGGCTCTCATCTCGAGCTGTATGTCAAATCTTAACTCTGGTGTCAACCGAAAAGCTCCCGTCACAGCAAGAAGTTAAAAACACTGCAGCTGAGGAAATCTAATTCATCCCTCCGGGTGAGTGATGCTTTTTATCACGCTTTGAATATTTAGTTTTAAGCCCAGCAGGTCTGGACATCAGAAACGACGCCTGACACAGTTGCTGATATTTCTCATTATGAAACATGCAAATCAACCTGTCTGCCCCCCCTTATTCACTTCACGTGTGTCAGTGTGTGTTGTGACACGCCGGCAAAATGAGGTGAGTGTGGTTGGGGGTTGCTGAGACAAGGGGCCCGGTGTTCCCACCAAATGCCAGTTTGGCCCCAGAGGAGCGGCTGCAGGAGGCGGCGGGGACACGTCCCATCCCACAGAGAGCATTCCTTGGTAGTGAACAGGAAAGGGAATCAGGCCTTCTTCCTCCTTTGGCGTGACCCTTCGCCTCCCCCTACGTCTGTCTCTTCCAGGGCCCCCGCTTTGATCTCGCCCTGCTGTCACTGCTCAGGTTACAGCTAACCAACACGCCGGTAAAGAACCAGGTCTTGCCCCCCCCCCACCACCACCTCCATCCTCCCCGCGTATCTGCACGTCTCACCTGATCGCGACGCCGTTCTGCTTCTCCTTCCCCTTCATTTATTTCGTACCTCGCTTCTCTCCCCGGCGCCCCGCCACATCCTGACAGCCTCTCAAAGCGTTCAATGATCCTCCTGTTGGTGCGTTCACAGGGGCACACTGTCTGTGTTCCCAACCAAAACGTCCCTGGGTTCATGTCATCCCCTGTCTCTGTCTCCCTTCATTTCCTGTTTTGTCTTTATATTATCAACTGTCCAATAAAATGCAAAAAATGTCAGAAAATATCTTTGAAAATAAAACAAAAAAATGTGCAACTATAGCAAACTATTTAAAGTAAACTGCACTGAAACTTCGCTAAATTAGCATCAATAAAAACAGCACAAATATATGACTGAATATATATAAAGATACATGCTAAAGTTTTATAAACATGAAATTAAGAACTGTGCGGAGCATTATGAACATTAAATTCATTTTTGATAGAATAGCCTGTCACCAATACAGCCAGACTGATATTTGAGAGTTCAAAAAATCTGATTACGATGTATTGAAAAGTTACTTTTAAATAAAACATTTAGTGTCTTGGACAGAAAGAGCAGAGCGACCTGCTCTGACTACTGAGCGGCAGCTTCCCTCTTTCTATACACGGACAACATATTGGTCAGATTGATGATCCCTCTGGTCAGGAATGAATAATTAGTCTTGAGGTATTAATTTAAAACCCATTTTACGATTTGCTTAGGAAAAAATCCTGTCCTGCAATTACTTCACATATCAGCACACATACTGTATACATCGATGTGAACTCAACTGATAATCCTCATTGTACAAAGTTGGTATAAAAGCTCATTCTGAGTGACTGTACAGTATTATGTCCATTTAAAAAAAGGCCCCATTCACACCATGTTTCACACATAGTTTAAAATAAGCAGCGGAGCTGGCTTTGATTATTATGTTAACCTGGATCACTCAGGAGTACAGCGGCCAAATTAAAACAGTCTCACAGACGCGACTCCCCTGGCGCTTTCAGTATATTTAAAAGGTATCAGTTACAAAGCTGAGAGAGAGAGCGAGAGACAGAAGGAGAACAGAAACAGACAATAAAGAAATGAGTGAAGGGAAGTCAGATTGGGATTTCTCTCTCGCTGGACTGGCTGACTGTGTCGTGGATTCAGCCACTCACAGTCAGCCTCTCAACAACCGCCAAATTAAACATTCCTGCCGGTGAGGGGGGAGAAAAAAATAAACATCGACACAAGCTTTATCGCACGCAAGGAGACGTTTGATAATAAATAAGACAAATTACTCACAATAAACTCTCTATTTCCTCAACTATTCATCATCTCAGCGGCGTATCGAATTAGCTGCCGCTCGATATTGGGACCAAAAATCGGACTCGCAGTCCATCTTAGTGATAACAGGACTGATTTCTAATTCCCAGGCTTCAGTTTCATGTTTCGCTGTGGAATGTCAGCGGCGTATTGGGACTAAAGTAGCTGATATATTGGAGCCAAGGAGGAATGAGGGAGAGAGAGAGAGAGGGAGAGAGAAACATGGAGACAGACGGACAGCCGGAGAGTGTTTGTTCTCAAAGCTGGAGTACTGCTGTTCAGGGTGAAGCGATGCCTTCTGGGATTGGTGAGGCCTGTTGACTCAGGCCTGGTCTGGTTCAATAACACAGATCAGCAAAAAGTGATTCAGAAAAACAATACGAGGGGGCAGAGGCTGGCTGGCGGACGAGCTGACTGAAGGTAAACACTCACAGTTTAGCGTTTCCTCTCTGACACAGCCAGTGTTTCTGGACAAAGACAACCTGCCCAGCTGACAGACGTTTATGCTGTGTCTGAGTGCAGGGTTACCAGATACTGAACCCCAGAATCCTAGGTTCGCTAAATATCCATACTGGCTAAGCTCCGAGGATAACAAATGTCTTCTTTTTCATTAGCAAGGAGCAACGTAAAAAAAATTCAAGTAGCAGGATTCTCCTCTTTTTCAGCTGGCTGTTGCCTTCACCATATGAATTGCCAAATATTATATCAGCAATGAATGAAACTCATCTGTTTTCTGGTTAATGTGCTCTATGTAAGGTGGTGTGCTCACTCCGCCACAGATTTATTAGAGAAAGAAGAAGAAAGCGTCCCTCTCCAACATCCTTTTTGGCATTGCATATATTTTGAATTGGCCTATTATTGTTATTTAGATTTTTATATTCAAACTCATTCCTACTTCTTTTAGCAACTGATGCACAGCAATTTCCCTCTGGATAATTAAAGTTATGTTTTGCGTAATTGGGCTATACAAATGACTTGAATCTAAATGTAATTGTTACATGATCCACCTCCGTCTGAACTCCTTTTCTCTTTCTGTGTGTTGAGGGAAAAACCCTGCACTCACATGCTGCCGTGTCTACATGTTAACATGGTTACTAGACTATGTGATCTTGCCTCGTCATTCTGGATATGGCTTTCTTGACAGGCTCCAGGACCAGCAGATGGATTTAATAATAGTTTAAGGGATAGAATTCATGCTAAAACCACATTTCTACTAGTCACACAGTACTGGTCCTTTTCTTAACCGACAAACGAAGTACACAACAGACAAAGACTGCTTGACAAGGAGGGTGTTGTTTGGTCCAAAGTTTGACTGACTGACTAAACAAACTGGCACATGCACCAGAGTTCGTGTGAACCAAACTAAATGGGTGTAAAAGCAGAATAATTTATATTTAAATGTATTCACCGAAAAATGTTGAAGCTAGACGATTTTAAAATGATTACAATTCTCAAACTGGATTTGAAACCAGATTCAGTTTTGGTGAAGTGCTATTATTGTGAGGTGAAGGGAGAGCTCCAAACCTGCTCAAGTCGGTGTAGAACTCGGGACTGATGGCACCGTCTGCTGAGATGATCCCCTCTGGATGAAACAATACAAACGCTCGTTATAAAGCTCTCATCCCACTCTCGAGACAACAAAAAGGCAGACCGTTTTTCAAAGCCCTCCGTACCGGCGCTGTAGAACAGATCGGGTCTCTCCAGGAGGTCTCTGTCCCCGATGAAGGATTCTCCGTCCTCCCCGTACAGGAAGTCCTCTTCCGCCTCATCCATTGGACGGTTCTCCACCATCTCCAGCCACTGGCAATTGTACCAGCGGAACTTCTCATTCTGGATCTTCTCTCCCAACTCCTCGTCATATTCCTGAAGCGATGTTGGAGGGCAGAGAGGTTTGGGTGGAGAGAGACAAACATTGTTGTTATAATGCTGCATTTCCATTTCTGAATGCACAATTTAGAAAATGATTGGAATGTACCTGGTGGTAAGAGCAGTGAGACAGACGTCTTATCAGAGTCAGCGTTGTTATAGAGGAAAGGATTCAGTTTATTGGCAAACATTTTAAACGCTATACTGACTGATACTCGCCACATGACACTTATTTACAACAGTCAAGTAAGGTCAACAGCCCCATATCAGGCACACGCCTGTATGTATGACTGTCCGTCCTCACTACAGCTTATAAAAACCTCTGTTTGCGTGTGTAGCTCGGGCGGAGGACGACCACAGAGCTCTGTTTTCTTTTCCCTGCGGGGGCTGAAGGGGCAGCGGTAAAGGCGGCCTTTGAGACTGCGACGCCCCGGCCTGAAGGATTAATCACTCAGATGCAAAGCAGAGCGCCTTGGGATCTGACAGCCGGCCGAGACCCCGGACTCAAACGGGCCCATTGACCGTCACACAGAGGGCCCCGCCCAAAACCCCTGGAAGTGACAGTGACACATTTCTTGGCGTGCGGATTAATCACAGGCTGAAATAGCAAATATGCTCTTTTATTAGCTTAATATGACTTTATAATCAGCTATTAGCCGCTGAGCGCATGACAGCATGAGCTCATCACAGCAGGGGTGAGGAAGTGCATTAAAGTTTTGCCAGTTTTTCAACTTATTCCTCTGGAAATGTGGCATCACTGTGAATTAGGCCTGTGTCCCACTTGGAGCATCTACAAAGGTCCTTGTGCGTGTGTGCTTGTACATGAGCAGGGCCACAATGATCAAAGAGCGAACATCTCAGGACTGCATAGTTATGGCGTGTGCTGCCAAAAGGATCCCGCACAGCCGAGCAGTAATGATCGTGTGTGTGTGTGTGTGTCCACAGCTCTGCTTTCTCTCTCACCTCTGCTGTCCAGCCGCTGACACACTCCAGAGCCCACCGGCGGCCTTTCATGTGGTTCACAGCTTAATAGGTCTCACTGATAATTTCAATGAAACACTTCCTTCGCCCCGCTACACTGGCTGGCTGTAATCTACAGCTAATTACGCTGATCTGAGGTCTGGCAGCGATCACGCACTGTCTGGGAGCTGACCACACCTGTCAGTCACAAGGTGATTCCGGAGTTCATCGGTTTGGTAATCGCTGATGTCAAATGTGACGCATCAGGAGAAGGTGAGAGTGTTTGACTGGAAGACTGGAAAAGGTCAAAACGTTCCATGTTTGTATGGAAAACGAGCTGTAGAACACAGTATTCTGGAAGACCTGTTTTAATCTGTATAGAATTGGAAATCTTAATTTTAATCTAATATTTCATTCCATGACTTGCAGCAGTGTGAGTGCAAAGCTTCCAAATGTTTTTGAACACCTCCTATCCAAGGCTGTATTACCAATCAGGCAAAGTGAGGAACTGCCCTGGAGCCCCAGAACCCCAAAAAACATCTGATTCCCTGCGTTACAATTGGTGTGTTGCTCTTCAACCTGTGAGACTCCAAATCAGTGCACCTCTTTGGAAAAACACCATAAAACCAAGTTTACTTTGGCTTTCTCTTCTTTTATTTTATAAAACCATAATATTTGTGTCTATTCACCTTGTTTCTACAGACCGTCTTCTGTCTTTTTAAAGAAATATAATTTCCTCTGTATCTATTCTTCTCTCTTTAAAGAACTTTGTGAAAAATTTGAATGTATTTTAAAAATTTTTTTTTTTACAATCTGTTAAAAAAAAATAATACTGAATACTGACTTTTCATTTCAGCATCAAAGCACCACAGGTCCTACAGCTGAAGTGTTGAAATGTTATTTATGAGACATGGTCAGTTACTCACAGCGATGATATCCAGCGTGTTGTTGCAGACTTTGCGGATCTCGGCGTTGCTATCGTGCATCAAGTCGATGAGGTACGCAGGCGCTTCTGAGATCAGGACTCAAGGAAAGAAAACATTTCATCCTCTCAGGGTCGTTTCGATGCTGAATCAATTATTTTGTCTGTCCCTAATCAATCGCAGGGGGAAGGATGGGGATGCGGTGGTACTGTGGGAAGGAACAACCGCTCCCCACTCTGTCATTTGAAGACAAAAGAGACCGGAGACAGGTGCCCTGCGGCTGAAGGAACCGCTGTCTGCATTTCCTGTGATGAAGTGAACACTTTCCTCCCACAGCGGTGCCTAAATCAGACATTCCCGTTATATTCTTTACGCAGAAAGAAAAACATCAATCAGAACATGCTGACAGAGAGCATATTTGTAATTTGACACAAGCCGCCACCGACCACAACTGTGTACAATTACAGGCAGCTTAAAATACCCAGAGGGTTAAAAGAAGAAGAAGAAAGAACGAGGGGTTAAAAGAGGTTGCTATTGAGATGCAGATGGGACCAAACAGTGAAGATACATACAGGGCAGTACAAGGACTTACCACGGGGACAAACACAGAGCACCAGAGAATAACTGTGGAGGAAACATACAGGCAGTGTACATGACAGTCTCATAACAGTCTTCCCATATCTCACGTCTCTAAACATGTATTTCATCCAACGGGACAGAAACGTCTGCGAAGCTTTGCAAAAAGGATACGAGTGTCTTTGACGATGACGTCCCTGGTAGCTTTGTGAAAGACCATCTGGTAGAAGACGTAGACAATCTGACACACAAACTCATCATCCTCTTGACGGGCTAAGATGGAAACAAGTAGGGAGGGGAAAAAAAATTAAGAATGATTTATTTTAAAAGTAGATAACGTCATGTGTCAAAAATGTCCCCTGGAAATTTTTCTCCTGAAAAAGGTAAAAAACGACTGTTGTAATGAACATGATATAATCAATATACATATTGTTTTCAAACAAAAAAAAAACGAAAACGAAGCAGCAATATGATCATCCGATTGTTCACATTTCTTCTTAAGATTAAGAAGTTTTATCGCCGTTTAGTTAAGATCAGTTAAGGTGGTTTACTTAAATAAAGTAAGGTGGATAGAACACAGATTTAAAAGGCATACTCCAGCAATTTAGTATTGTACTTCATTAAAGTTGGGGGACACAGATTAGAAAAAGAAGGTGAATATCTGTGTAGAAGAAGGCGCGATATCCTGACTTTTAGTCCATAGAAAAACAAAATTAAAGATACTACATGGTACATTTCATAATGCTTTGGAAAGCTGTAGTAGGATTTAGTTCTTACCGTTGAGCAGCTCAATAAGAGCAGCAATGATCCCAGACTTGGCCAACATGGCTGCACACGAGTCATCCATGGACACGGTGCCGATCATGATCACCACCTCCAGAATGAGGTCATCCTCAGCAGAACCTGACATCAGGGAAAAGTGCAAGTTGATCGGATGACCGGCAAAAGAACCTCATTGATCGTCTTGACACATTTGGCCCCTGATGTGCAGAACAGAGTGCTGAGCCAGGGGAAACACACGGTGCTGCTGGACCTCAGTCTTTTGACTGCTGTGTCTTAATACCAATGCAGTCCAGAAAACTATGCCTGGGAAACATCAGGTTATAAATAAAAGGGCTGTTTTACATTTGTGTCTGAGGACATCTATTGACTTTTAAAGGATCCCAAGAGGCTCATTTTAAGATCAATAAATGGCTCATGGACGGTTCAGTGGCGGCTGTTAGCGGGCTGGAACTTACTGAGGATTGCTCAGATCTCTTTGTGAAATCATTAAATTCTCAGACTGTTGGAAATATGATCAGTTTTACACCCTCACCATGGCCATCAAAACTTAATGCAACTGACATGTGGCCATAGCACCCGATATCAAAATCAATTCTTGATTAGATTAAAACCCATTATATGAAGGAACAATTCGTTAAATTAATACGATTTTCAATTTTCCCAACGTTTTTGAATGGCTGCTAAAAAAATGTGAACTTTGAATTCTTCTCAAAGGTATCAACAAACTTGTTCTGGTATCGGAGGTGAAACTCTGGTACTCCGGTATCGGCACTAGTAGCAAAACATCAAATGACACCCTAAGAAGCGGCACTGGGCCTGCCCTGGTTGGAAAAGAAATATGGGCAAACATCAAACTTTGAAATAAGCCAGGGTTCTTGTTATAGACTTCAGTTAGATAGGTCTTCACTGGTCCAACATTTGGACTTCATGTGAAAGGAGAACCATAGAAAACCCAAATCTAATGTGCATCATCTTAAATAAAAAAGTCTCAGTTCAAAAAGGGCCCAATAATAATTCATTTAAAATAATGAAGCAGCATATAACATATTGACATACAGTCCGGAGACCTGCAGCAACACCTCTCTACTGTTGTTGAATGCACAGATATAATTTGGACCCAACCCAAACCATGTCCCAGATCAGGTCTTCATCACGATGTTTATGGTTAAATAAGAAAACATAACTAGTAACTTATGTAATGTTTTACATTCATGTTACGTTCCAACTTTCCTGTCATTCTTTATTGTTTACTATCCTACAATGCAAAAACAATAAAGTTCAATATATAGCACTAGACTTTTAATTCTGCCTCAATGAAGATAAAAACTGAGGGTTAGGAGGTCACTGGTCCTCAAAGGTAAAGATAAGGCCCAGACCCTAATGAGGGTCCTCTGTCGTCATATCATCCACGACCAGTGACACCTCACTGATAGTGGGATGCAGGTGCAGTAGTTAGAGGTTAAGACGGGGGATGGGAGAGACCTGGCGTCTGCTTTTAAAGGTTGATAGATGAGAGAACCGTGGCAGGGTTATCCTTGTATGCAAGCATTACTGCATGTCTTGCAAGAGTGGGTTTAAAAGATGTCACAAAAAACACTCTCAGATGGTGCAGCTGATGACGACCACAGAGGTCCATGTAGTCTTCACACACACCTGGTTTAATTCTGTCTTTCAGGTAGGGCACCAGGTTGTACTCCTTGAGGACCAGAGCCCAGTCCAGGTCGGCGATGGTCAGATTGGCCAGCGTGCCCAGACACTCGATCACAAACTCCTCCGCCTCCTCCTCACTGATCTCAGCTGCCAGGTCACCGACATGGTCCTACCAGCAGACAGACAAAGCAAGATCAATGAGAGTATGGAGTATGTGCTCTCTTTACCTTCACCTAGAGGCTTTGTCACTACATGTTCTCTTTATATGAATGGACAGAGGAGAGTGTTAGTGAGATGTAAGAACCAGGCTGATTGGACTGATCAAGCAAAAAAATATATAGTTTGGCAAAAGTACGGCAAATTAATAATCGGTTAATAAAAGAGGAAGTGTAATGTTGCAATAGACACTGAGTTAGCCATGGGCCCCTGTATTTCTTCATACTTTGGTGAATCTCAAAAAGTAATTTACCAAAATGTGTTACTTTTGATCAAACCGCTCATTGCTTTGAGGTCATGACTTCAGTATCAAGACTGACCAGGAAGAGGCTCTTGGTGGGTCCGTTGTGCTGAGAAAGGTTTCTGATCATCTTCATCACCAGAACATCCTTCAGCTTCACAGCACGCTTCATCAGCATCTTCAGACCGTTGCCTAGGGCAACAAGGAGGTAAAGATCATCTTAGAACTTAACGACATCAGAGTGGGATAAAATGCCCTTTTCCATATGTTGCATTTAAGGTTCCTTTGGAGCTCCTACCTTCACAGATGACCTTTGCGTTGCTCTTGTTAGCAGCCAGGTTGATGCAGAGCGAGATGAGCGCAACATCCATCGTCTCCTCCCCACAGTCAAACACCATCTTCATCAGCTGTCAATCACAGGTGTTCCACATGTCAGTTAAGCTCTTGATTGATTCATCACTGAGAATCAAGACAAAGTAATCGATAACACACCAAAGCAGTCGTGTCAGAATAACACAGCTGTATATCAGCGGTTCAGGGTGTTTATGTAATATGCTTTGGAGTATTTCTTCTCTGATGTGAGCTAAAAGGGAGCAGCGGTTAGTTCCCGAAGACAACGAGCGACATGTCTTCATGTTGTGTGTGTTTTTGGTCGTGACGTGTCATTTTGATGATTTTCGTGTCGGGGTTTGAGCCCTGGAGTGTAAAGGAGGGTGAGGAAAAGAAATGAGTTGAGAAAAGTGAGTTTTTGAGTTAAAGAGAGAAAGACAGTGTTTCGAGATAAAGGCAAGCGTCATTCCTAACTTCTCAAACACCCACCACCTCCTTCCCTCCCTCTGTCCATCTGTCAGTCTCTCCTGCACTGATTTAACATTAAACAGGAAAAGCTTTGAGTAGAGGAGGGGGGGGGGGGGGGGGGCAGAGGTGCACTGCTTCCCTGTGAGGAGTCAGGAGTTAAAGAAAGGCTGGGCCGGGCCTGGGTTAGGTATCACATACCAGGGGCCCCGGACCCCAAATCAGCCCCGTCTAGACTCTCTGGCACCTGCCTCTGCTTATTTACCACAGACAGCCACCGGAGGCCCAGTCAGGGCCCAACGCCACGCTGCAGTCCAACCAACACAGCCCCCCCTCACCTCCATTCCTCTCCTTCCTCACCCCTGGCATCCCTGCTCTGGAAACCCCACGTTGAACACCAAACTGTGACCCCATTAAAAGCTAGAGAAGGGGAAAGGGGCAGGTCAGCTACTAGCCTGGGAAAGCGATAAAAGAGAGGGGTCTTAGAAGTACAAACTAGGTAGAGAGGATAAAAAGGTGGGAAATGGGGCGAGGCAGTTTGTTGAGGATGGAGGGACATGTAAATATCATATGGCACAAAAAAGGTTTTGGTGTGGGGAGTTGGACTTTGGGGAAAATAAAAAATAAAATGTAAATGAACCACTGAAACTGAGACAATGTCTACACAAAGAAAAATAATGTTTTTAAAGTGTGACTATGACACTCTGATTGTTTTTGCAAATATCTGCATCTGCACACGAACACCTGAACAAAAGGAAAACGATTAAATCTTGTCTTCTTAGTCAAAAACAACTAACTGTTGATCACAGCAAACATCTGCTGAGCAGGGGGACAGACACTTTAGTGCAGACAGCATCATTATCTCACCTCTGCTTGATAATGAAATGCTACCTGTTCACCTACTGAGACGTCAATCAGAATCACTAGGTTGATGTGTGATCAGCTACATTGGCAATTGAAATGAGTGATGGCAGGCAGGGCTGCTACAAGGATTTTAGAAACACCAAGTTATTAAGAAATCAAAACAAAAACCATAAAAAATTACACTTTTCAATGATATCTTTCTTTCACACTCTACATTATTATGGTGGCAGGTACTTTATGCAATTCTGGTGGAAACAAATGACTCATTTGAACCCTTTTTATATTCAAGTATGCTAAAACTGTCCAATGTAGTCCAAAAATAACAACTTAACAACTCCTCATGTTATTAAATTCCTCAAATAAAGTGAGTTGTCTTCTTAATTATAGTCAAACTGCCTCTGACCTCAATTGAGCGATAGATTTTTATATTTATCCACTCCCGATTAGTGGGACTAAAGGTAGAAGAGGGTTGTGAGCGGGCCTCGGGGCGGGGTCGGAGGTCACATCCTGGTCATGCTGCTAGCCAGCCTCCTTTCTACCACACAGGGGAGCCTGGGGTTCAGATCTGCTGCTGACGTGACCTTCTGAACAAACAGCCGACTCCCCCCGGCCACATCTGGCCGGCATTTACACCCAATCTCAACAAACAAACACAACGCACATTTAGCTAATCGCCGATGATGAGAGGAGCGACTGACCGGGTCAACTCAATCAGGAGGGAGTGTAACTCAACAAAAATGTTCTGATCGAAAGTTGAAAGAAACAAGCCTGAGGGGGTTTTGAAATTAGGCGGTAAACTTCATTTTCATGATCACAAATCCTGTCTCTGCGCTGGCGTCCCAGTTTAGAAATGCTAATGAGGAGTCGAATATGCGGAGAAGATACAGAAATGGATGAAATAGCGAGAGGATGTTTTCAGGAAAGAGAAGAAAAGAAGGAAAAACAGAGACGTCATCACAGCGAGAGCGAAGACTGAGCAGCAGTCCTCTGGTGGTTTATGGTTCCAGATGTGGCGCGCGTCCCTCCCTCTCGCTCCGTTTCTCATGCATCAACTCCCGGGTGCCGTTAGCTGCTGATGCCAATGTGTCTGTCTTGGTCTGCTGGCGTTGTACATTAGCCAGTCTTACCTGCGGTATGCAGTCTGTGTCGGCAAACATGGACTTGAATCTGTCGTCCATGCTGATGTGGTACAGAATGCACATGCTGAGCTGTCTCTGGGCCTCGTCAGCTGCAACATAAACAGGAGGAGGGAAGTCAATGGATGAATGACTGGTTGTGCCGTAACGCTTCGCGGGATGCCAATGACCACATCTAGGAGACTGGTGTGTTTTTTGAAAGTATTAATGAGCTCAATGGCCTTTTTAACAGCGATTCCTGTCGAAGGTCAAATGGCATTCGGTGCAGAATCAGAATCGGTCGACTGCAGTTTCTCAGTTTGTTGCGTCTCACGGGAAGCTCTTTTGAAGAAAAACAACATCTAAACGTTGAATGTGGAACTGCAGCAGGCGACTGACTGAAAAAGGCCAGCTTTCCATGCTGCATAAATGGAAAAAAAGAAATCTAGATATTTTCTCACTTACCTTTTTTGTGCAACTTTTGATATATCCAGATTTCTGTCCCAAAACAATGGAAGTAAATGGAATTGTTGTGCTATTCACAGAATTTGGGGATACGTCTGACAATATCATATCTTTTTCTTATTGTCAACAAATTCCACGTGCAGACCAACAATGAATCTACTAACAAGTGATGTATCTTCTTCCTCTGTGCCATAGAGCTCAATTGTTGTCCAAAACTATTGAAAACGCATCAATGGCTCACACTGGATCACATATTCTTACTTTACCACGAACACACACACTGTAGGTCATTTTGACTTAATCCCACATACACTGTCCTGCTGCACCAAATGTGGATTAATCCGCCACTGAAAATAGTCCCAAAATGTACCCTTTCCTCTTGTTTGAGTAAGTAAACCAATGGGTTTTGAGCTGAGAGCCACAGACAGTATTGAGAGACAGACTAACATGCTGTTCGTTCGGCTCTGCACATAGGATTTATTGACAATAAGAAATGAAAACAATGATGCCAGGCTTGAAATCATGAATAAAAAGAATCTCTCCTCTCCCTCCAGAAACAGTGACCCAGTTACTAGTAGGGATACTCCACAGACCTCACTGGGAACAGTTTACATAGGGACCATTTCTTCAGTAGAAAGCAGTTCCAATGAAAACAGATCGGTCTGTGGATTATCAAGGTAACCGGGACACTGTCTGTGGAAAGACACGTTCATGCTGAATTCTTTTTAAAGCTGCATTAATGATTTTTCTGCTACTTAAGAGGCAGTGGAACAAGTAGAAAACCTCAAAAAGCTAAATAAATAATCATATTCACCTCCATTGCATTGATCCAAGAGACAGATCTCTAAAAAACCTGGACTTAAAACCAAAACTATCTGCATAGATAGATACTGCTAGAGGTTAAGAAAGAAAATGTGACTTTTTAGTAATTTGGGTGAACTGTCCCTATAATAAAATGAGTACATTCCCTGTCACTACACTTTTGTGAGCTTATCAAGCCCTGGAAGCAGCATGGAGGAGATAAAGAGAGAATGGATTGAGTGTTAGACTGTCAGTGAGCCCAGGACCTTTATGAGTTTGGCCTCTGACCAGAGCAGGGGGGCAGGAGGCCTGGAGGAGGAGCCAGCCAAGGGGGGATTAATAGAGTTCAGACCAAAGTTTGACCCGGGAACTTTTCATTAAGAGAAGTGTTAAGAGAGAGGCTCCTCACTGGACCAGAACCACCGACAGACCTGCAGTAATGCCCACCAGCCTCCAAATCCCCAACCAGGTCCAGTTAAAACTGGTCCCAGCCGTGTTCAGTCACTGGCCGTACGGGGAGCCTTATCGCTGAGTATTGGATCCAGATGTGCTCAGTGAAGCCTTGGAATCACAGGAGGGAGAGACGGCTTCTAACTTTAATTGGGAAAACAGGAGGAAGCATCAATTTTACTGCCTTAAATATGTTAAAGCTACGCCGCTCGCTGCTCTGGACGCAGCCAGCGATTGGCCAGAACATGTGCGTCTCATTAGCGATCCTTTACCTCAACTAATACCTTGAAATGCACATGAAAACAACCAAGCACGCACGCACACACACACACACACACACACACACACACACACACACACACACAC